ATCTCTGCCCCTGTGGGTGATCTCATCAAGTCCTCCCCAAGACCCTGCGAGGGAAACTTCTAGGGCCTACCCGCTTTGCTGAGAGAAAATAGCAGCTCAGAGAGGTGAAGACACCTGTTGAGTCTTGTTAATGAGATTCTGGCTTCCAGCTTGTAATGAACAACTGGAAACAGAGAAGAAGGGGCAGCTGGAGGCCAAAGCATGCCCCTGGCCCAGGTTGGAACCTGCATAAGCTACGGAGTCTGGGGCACCAATCACACCTACTTTACAGGTTGCCGGGAGGGAGGAGTTGGTGAGAGGTTTGTAAAACCTTCAAACACAGTGTTCAGTCTTTGGTAGGCATGCAGCCAGTGGCAGTTAGTTCAGTTCCCCAGTTCTGTCTGGAGAGACATAGACAAAGAGAGATCCAGAGAGACTTGGAAAGAAGAGAGAGAAGGGAGAGGAAGGATGATGGATGGACAGGAGAGACAGAAGTTTCCCTGGGGGAAGTGGGATTGGCTCAGCGGGGGCCCCTGCACCCCAGGACCACCCAAAGCTGTGAAACGCAAGATGCTGCTGCAGGGAGCCCTGCGTTTATGACTCCCTTTGGCTGTCGCTCAGGGATTTGGCACACGGCAGGGACTGTGGTGGAGGTTTAAGTCCTCTGATTCTTCTCCCTATTTTCTGCACCCATGTTCCCTGGGGACTTACCGTGTGCCAGAGGATGGGGCTGGCATAGTGAGAGCACAGACAGGGTCCCGCTTACACGGGGCTCAGATTCCAGGGCGATCTTCCAGGTGACCTCCTCCCCCTCCCAGCACTGGCAGTTTGGTGTGGGCGACTCGAGTCAGCATCCACCTTCCGCAGGAGGAGCCCCCTTCCTTATAATCCGCACCCCCCTCTCCCCCAACCTCACGTCCGACATCACCGCTGCCTCAGTCTCTTTCTGTTCCCTGCCAGCTTCTAATGAGCTCATTATCCTCTTGAAACCCATTTGGCACCCACTTAGAGAAAAGATGTGTTGAAATATAAAAGAACGGGAAGGGAACAACAAAAAGGAACTAAACCCAGAAATATCCTCAGAGAGACAGAGTCACAGGGAACACAACAGCAGAAATCTTTGCTGTCTCCATACCCACAGCAGATGTGCTCCTTGCTGTTGGCAAGGGGCTCTGAAGGCGGCTCACGTGTGCTTACAGGAGGGGCAGGGGCTGAGGGCTTTTCTTGAGCCCCTACTATGTGCCAGATGCACATAGTACAATTTTTTTTTTTTAATTGGGGTATAGTTGCTTTACAATGCTGTGTTGGTTTTCTAGTATACACTGAAGTGAATCAGCTATATGTACACATATCCCCTCTGTCTTGGGCTTCCCTCCCACCCTACACGCCCATCCCACCCATCGAGGTCACCACAGAGCCCAAAGCTGAGCCCCTGTGTCTTCCTGCAGTTTTTAAGGCAATTCTCCAAGCAATGTATTTTGGGGGAAGTGTCAAGCTTCTTATATCCACTTCACAGGTCAGGAGCCTCAGTCGCTGAGAAGTGTCTTGCCCCAGTCACACAGGTGGTGGATGGAAGAGGTGGGATTTGAGCCCAGGTCCGTCTGCCTGCGGAGTCCATGCTCTTGCCTGCATGCCTCTGGAAGGGCCGGTGTCCCGCCCACCGCCTATTCCCATGAGGGCTGCTGGTCTTTCTTCATCCTGGCCCAGCTGCGGAAATCTCTGCCATGTGAGTGATTCATGTGGAATACCAGGGGACACCCATCACTGCCTGGAGGTTTTTAAGCTGATAAGAGGCTGGTTTTTCCAAAGTGTCAGTGTGACCATGAAACTTCAGTTAGAGCATAGTCCAGACTTCTGAGCTTGGCATTCAAGGCTCCCCAGGGTCTGACCCCAACCCCCCGCTTCACTGCCTTCCTACCATGCCCTAAGCTCCTCTAGTGGCTCAGAGGGTAAAGCATCTGCCTGCAATGCAGGAGACCCAGGTTTGATCCCTGGGTTTGGAAGATCCCCTGGAGAAGGAAATGGCAACCCATTCCACTATTCCTGCCTGGAGAATCCCATGGACGGAGGAGCCTGGTGGGCTATATATAGTCCTTGGGGTCACAAAGAGTCAGACATGACTGAGCAGCCTCACCACTCACTGAGCTCCTCGGCTTCCTCCACCCCCGTGCCCTGCCCTGAGTATGTACTGTTCCTCCTCCCTCCGGTGTCCTGCTGTTTCCTCACCCAGAAAGCTGACGCCTCCTGCAAGACCTGCCAGCTCAAAGAGCCGTTCCAGAGGGAAGCCCTCTCTGATTCCCCTCAGGGCAGCTTCAGACCCTCACTTCCCGGGGCTCCCACATTCCGGGGCCTCTTACCCCAGGGTGCAGAAACCCCTTGACATTGTAAGCCAACATCTAGGAACTTTTGTGCAAGCGCTCTTCTCTGGGCATATGCCTGTAGTTTTTTTTTTGCCATATTCTCAAAGGAATACAAGACTAGAATAGATGCGTGGTTAGGAACACAAGCTGTGAAGTCAGATGAGCCTGGGTTCACAAGCCAGCTGCCACTTACCAGCTGTGTGGCCCTGGACAAGTTACTTTATCGTCCTGTGCCTCATTGCTCTCCTCTTTGAAATGGATCTAGATCTGCCTCGTTGGATTGATATGAGGATTAAATCAGAGCATTATGTTTGTCGAGCAGTATCTGGCATATAATACATGCTTGATAAACATTAGCTGTTAATATTAATTGGTATTCTATATCTTATATATACATCTACTATTGGATTTATCATTGTCTCTCTAGTATAGTGATTTAATGTAGTGATTGTTTAAATTGCTCTCTCCCTCAGTAAACTCTGAATTCTTTGAAAGCAGCAACTCCAAATTACTTTTTTTCAAATTCTTTATTTATGCATTCCAAGCACACGCACGGTAGGCAAATAACACATGTTGCTAAATGAATGGAGGAATGGGTGGATAAGTGGGTGGGTGGAGAGCTGGATGAATGAGTGGGCTGCTACAATTCAGATGAATAGATAGATGAATGAATGGGTGATGGATGGATGGGTGGATGGATTAATGAACAGATTAATGATGAATAGTTGGAGGGGAAGGGGAATTGATGGATAGATTAAAGAATGAATGATGGATAGGTGAATAGATTGTGACTTAATGGATGGATGGATGGGTAGGTGGACTGCTGAATAGATTAAAGAATGACGGATGGATGAACAGATAGTTTGACCCTACAAGAGTGTGCATTTAGGGCTGTCTTGCTCATTGAATAGTTCCAAGTGCTTACAACGACAGCTAGTGCGTGTAGGTGCTCAGTACTTATTTCTTGAATGAATAGGATGGCATGTGGAGGAACACTGGGCTCTACCTTGAACCAGAGTCAAACTCTCCTGCTGCTGTCTGGATCGGTAGGGGCTGTCACCATTCAAATCACCCATTGGATGACAGTTGAATCCTTTGCAGTGGCCAAGATTGTCATGAGGCCCCCTGCTGGTGGTGATATGAAACCACATAAGCCAAATGGAGTTTGGTTTTTTTTTCCATTTTCTAATTTACAGTCTATTTTCTTCCAGACTGCTGATTCTGAGTGTTTACTGAAAAAACTGTGGTTGTCAAACCTTTGTGCTCATGGCCATCACCTGGGAGCAGCTGGTTACACCTGTAGGTTTCCTCCTCACCCAGAAATTCCGGTTGGAGAGATTAGGAATCTTCATGGGTAGCCAGGCTCCCAAGGGATGCTGAATCAGATGCTCCTCGGACCACACTCTGAGGGGCCCTCGTAGAATGAGCTGCCACTGGTCACTGGGAGCAGGTGGAGATGGGCTGCTGCTTCGGGGGCTGTCTCGGAACTCCCAAGCGATGCCCAGGCCGTGTGGGAGAAAGAGTCAAAAAGCCGCGGGTTTGGAGCTGTGCTTTTGTGTTCGGACCATCTTAGGTTCCAATCCCACCTCCACCACTCACCAGCTGTGTGTCCTCAGTTTCCTCATTTGTAAAATGGGAAATAGTCACTTCCCATGGGAACACGGGGAAGAGTAATTAATACACATAGAAGGCTCAGTACAGAGCAGGGCGTGCCATACATGCCATACAATAAATACTGAGTGAATGCGTATGTTGCTAAACAATTCTGCTTTCCTTCCTTCTCCTTTTCTTCCTTGGATAGAAGAGAGGGGCTCTGGATTTGAACTCTTCCTTTACAACATGATCCCGGTGAGAGAAGGAACTGTGTCTCTTGGGTTCACAGCTTTATTTCCAGCACCTAGAACAGAGCCTGGAGGAGGGCATGGCAATCCACTCCAGTATTCCTGCCTGAAAAATCCCATGGACAGAGGAGCCTGGCGGGCTACAGTCTACATGGGGTCCCAAAGAGTCAGACAGACTGAAGCGATTTAGCACGCATGTAGGACAGTGCCTGCTACACAGTAGGTCTTCTATAAATATGTGTTTGGGGGGAAAAATGAACAAATTTGATCTAGTTCAGTATCAGCCAGGTCCAGCAGACAGTCTGGCAAAGGCCTAGGAAGTACATTTGGACTTAAAGTAACCCCCATGAATCAGCATATATTTGACAAATATGCAGACTATTGGGCTTAAGAAAGGCTTCCCCCATGGCTCAGCAGTAAAGAATCCGCCTGCAATGCAGGAGATGCAAGAGGTGCAGGTTCCATCCCTGGGTTGGGAAGATCCCTTGGAGAAGGGAATGGCAACCCACTCCAGTATTTGTGCGTGAAAGATCCCATGGACAGAGGAGCCTGGTGGGCTACAGTCCAAAGGATCGCAGAGAGTCAAACATGATTGAGTTCTGAGCAATGGGGCTTAAGAACCTGAGTCCGTCCAAGATACAGCTTGTCCCGAGACGAGGCCCAGTAGGAGTCGCTTTCACCCAGCACTACTGGGTTCTTTGGGCCACTGGTTTCCTCCCTCTCTGGACTCTGCATCCCCCCTCCCTTGAGAATGTGCAGGAAAGCTTTACGTTCTGGCCTCTGCCAGGTTTCTAATGTCTGTACCTGTGCTCTTTTGCAGGTGGCAGCCCTGAGCCCTAATGTTTCACCAGATGAAAGCGTGCCCGCTTCTGTTTCCACCAGGGGGACAGGCCGAGCTTGGTCCCCAACCGGGGAAGAGGCCCGTGGGGAATTAATTCAGCTCCCATAGGCCTGAGCATCCGAGAAGGGGCAAGCGAACTCCAGCTGCCTGTGAACCCTCACAAAATCCTCCTCCGATTGCTATTTTCCAAGTTCTTTGGGAATTCTGAGGCAAAGAACAAGATGTAGGAAAATGGGACCAACTCCTGAGTGCCCCGAGCCTCCGAACCCCTTTCATGGCCCAAAGAAGCTCACCTTGACCTCGGGAGGATTGGTGAACCCTGTCCTGTCTTCTCTTGGCATCAGCCAAGCATTGGACCTGCCCTCCTGCCCCGGACTGGGCAGTCACCTTCACAGCGGGATTAAGACTGAAGACCCCCAAGGGCTCCATCCCTAAGAGAAGCTTGAGAAATAAAGCCCCCACCCATTCTCTCCCTGGACCACAGCCCCAACCCCCAGCTGAGCCCCAGCGATCCAGTCCGGAATGATCCCACTATGGCCAAGCTCTGGTTCAAATTCCAGCGGTACTTCCGCAGGAAACCCGTACGCTTCTTTACCTTCCTGGTGCTCTACCTGACGGCTGGGAGCCTTGTCTTCCTTCACTCTGGTTTTGTGGGCCAGCCTGCCGTCTCCCAGAACCAGGCCAACCCCGCTGCGGGGGCCCCAGCGGAGGGCGCTGAGCTGACCTTCCTGGGTGACTTAAACCTGGGCAGAGGCTTCCGGGACACAGGTGAAGTCTCAAGCATCGCCCGCAGGTACGGACCCTGGCTCAAGGGCAAGGACGGGAATGAGAGAGCCAAGCTGGGGGACTACGGGGGAGCCTGGAGCCGGGCCCTCAAGGGGAGGGTCGTCCGGGAGAAGGAGGAGGAGCGAGGTAAGAGGGGTGAGCTCTGGGCTGGAGGGCGGCGGAGGACAAGGGAAGGGAGTGATGTACTAATAATATCATAGTAGCAGCTGCCAGGGTTCAGTGTTTCATAGAGCCAGCCACTATATATGCAGGAGGTTTCACAGAGGAGAAAATTGAAGCTCAGAGGCATTAGGTAGCTTGCCTAGGGTCACACAGCTTATAAACATCCACGCTTAGAGCTGAACCCTGAATCTGTCAGAGTTCAACATCTGACCCTCCCATGCAGCCCTTTATAGCCCTTGTTACATGCACCTGAAAATCAAAACCCCGAGCATCTACTGAGCACTTCCTAAGGGCCAGGTACTTTCCCAAGCACTTGACAGGCATCAAATTACAGCCACAACTCCATGTCATAGGTGCTATCATTCCCATTTTAAAGATGAGGAAACTGAGGCCCTGGGAGCCTAAGGTCACACAGCTAGCTAGTGGCAGAGCTTCTGTTCCCTGCAGTCTGCCTCTCCGTCCACTTAGCTGGATCCCTTAGTGAGGGCGCTTAGGGGACTTCGTTTCATTGCCTTTTCTTAGCTTGTCAAAGTCAAAGTGGGCTTTTCTTCCTAAGTACATCACCTCACTTGATTTTCACTACACTCCATGGACTTAAGGAATGTGATCCTATGCCCAGTTAACACACATGGAAACAGGCTTGGAGAAGTGAAAACTTTCCCCAAGGCCACGTAGCTGGTCAGTGCCGAGTTCTAAGCAGACACATCTGGCCTGGATGCTGGCTCTGTGACTACTTCCCAGGGTCAGCTGATGTCCCCTCATCAGCGCAGTGTTCTGGGGAGGACCCCACAACTCCTGCAATTCATGAGATTAACACGAATGGACATTTCCAGAATCGCAGCCAGATGGTTTGGGAGGATCTACCACCAATCAGGACAGAAGAAAAACCTCCACAGCCCTTGTGTTCCCTGACACATGTCACACTTCCGCTGTGATTCAACTGGTGAAAAACCCCTTCTCCCACCGTGGAGGGAAGCAGGGCTATTGGAGGGGACTTATCCTGGGCAGCATGTTTCCCTGCTTCTGTCCCAACCTGCTTCTGGCTCAGGAGCCATCCAGAAGACCCCATCATCTTATCCTCAGGAATTTCCTAGAATTCCACTTCCTTAAAAAATTCACAGGGCAGTAAAGGAGAAGGTGAGAAGTAGCAGAATGGCTTAGGGGACTTGGATTCATAGTCCAACTCCACTCCAACCTGTCACGCAGTCCAAGCAAGTGGCTTGACCTTTTCATGCCTCAGTTTTATCATCTGTAAAATGGGAACAATGGCCTCCTTCCTGCCAGGCTTCTCCTGAGAGTTTGATGAGACATGATTATGGAAACACCTAGCATGATGCCTGCACAGAGTAGAGTCTTAGGGTGATCAGGAAGGTCTTGTGGATCCACCTAGGTCAGGGACCCCATCTTGTAGGCATAGATGAGGTGTGAGGTGCTACTTTGATGGAGAAATTCCCTCGCCACCTTCTCCAATCACCAAGCTTCATCCCACTCCTGCTGCTTTGCAAGCCCCATCAAACTTAGGATAAATTCCAGAGCCCCCAGCATGGCCCACCATGTAACACTTGGTGTTACGTGTTGTAACATTAACATGTAACACTTCGCACCCACTTCACCACACTTCTCTCTCCACTTTGCTCTTTGCTACTCATGAAACACACCAATCCTGATCCTACCTCAGGGTCTTTTTATAGTTTGTCCCTTCCATCTGGGATACTCTTCCCATATCGTTGCACGGCTCCCTTCCTCCCTTCCATCAGATCTCCAGTCAAACCGTGCCACCCCGTAGAGGTCTTCCTGGAATGCCCTAAAGTAGCCCCATTTTATGCCTGGTCAGGACCACATTTCCTAATTCTATTTTTGTCACAGTACTTATCACCATCTGAAAATATCTTGCTTTTGTTTGCTTCCTTAGTTTTTTATTTTTTGAAATTTTATTTACGTATTTTATTTCTGGCTGCCCTTGGTCTTGGCTGCTGCGTGGGCTTTCTCTAGTTGTGAGAAGCAGGGGCTGGTCTCTAGTTGCAGTGCACAGGCTTCTCATTGCCGTGGCTTCTCTTGTTGTGGAACACAGGCTCTAGGCATGCAGGCTTCAGTAGTTGCAGCAGGCAGACTCAGTAGTTGTGATACACAGGCTTAGTTGCCCCACAGCCTGTGAGATCTTCCTGGACCAGGGATCGAACCAGTGTCCCTGGCATTGCAAGGTGGATTCTTAACCACTGGACCACCAGGGAAACACCTTGCTTCCTTATAGTCTGTCTCTACTACTAGACTGTCAGCTCCATGAAGGCAGAGATGGTACCTGTCCCGATTGCTTCGTTCTATCAGCACCTTGGACAGCACCAGAAACAAAGCTGGTCATTGGTGGACAAATGAAGGCGTGGCCAGCCTGCTGCCTGGGGCGTCTGCACAGGGTTAGCCCTGCTCTTCCTCCAGGTCTCAGCTTAGCTCACCTCCAGAAAATCGTCCTGACCCCCCTCTAGGCTTGCTCAAATGTTCCTTCTCTGTACTCCCTGTCATGGCCCTTACGTGAATGGTGATTTCCTGTGTTTGCTGAGGTCCTCTGACAGAATATGATTCCGTAATGGTACAATTGATACACCCAACAAAATAGAAACACCCACCCCCGTTTATTATGAGAATGAAATTCCACTGCCACTGTTACGAGTAATTATTACCATTTCTTGAGCACCTACTTCATGCCAGCCACTGTTCTATTTGCTTTTCATATATTATTTGAATGAAATGATATATGTAAAATGCTTATCAGATCTCTTGGTTTCTAATAATAGGTCACTTAATAGTTGCTGCCACTAGTATTAATAGTAGTAGAAATAGTATCTAAATATATATTGAATGGTTATTATAGACTAGACCGTCATTGTCTTATGTAATTATCACAGCAACTCAACAAGCTAAAGACTATTATTATCTTATTTTGCAAACAGGAAAATTTAAAACTCAGAAGTCACTTACCCCAGGTTAACCCGGTGGTGAGTAGAAAACCTGAGGTTTGAAGCAAGGTTCATTTAATTCCAAAGCTTGTGAGCCTTCTTGTCCACTATGCTACCCCACCCCTTGCTTCTGGAAATCTTAGATATTTTAGAAAATAGAGAGAGTGAAGAAAGAGAAAATAAGAAAGAAGCCTGGAGCACAGAGCTCTCAGCAGGCAGCTTTGAAATCAGGCAGTCTTATTAAGAAAACACAAATTCAGACTGTCCTTGATTAACTTATTCAGAGTTCAGCAAGGAAAGACAGCATATTAGATTAGCGCTAATAAAAACGAGACGCTTCCTTGACCTGATGCTAAACACATTTGGTTTTTATCTGAAGTTGGCAACGGCTCTGCTTGATGCAGCGATGCAAGACTTAAGCTGTAAGGGACTCAGAGCCCATCACGGGCAGGAGGGGAGGGTGGAAATGCTGCCTGGCTGGGCTGGGGCTGGGCAGGAAGTCTGACTTCCTGGGTGGAGCTGGCACCTGCAAGGTGCCAGTCACCTTGCTAGGCTTTCGAGATCCTGTGCTCTGAGCAGCCACCTGAGGGTTCAAATCCCAGTTCTGCGGAGGCTTGTGCAGCTCTGGGCAGGTCACCTCAGTTTCCTTTGGGAGGTAAAAGGTACTTAACATCAGATGTCTGTTGTGATGATTATATAAGATAAATCGATGGCATGCTCTCTAAATGCCAGGCACTCTTGCAGCACACTTTGCAGCCGTTACATCCCATAGTCTTCTTGGCAGCCCAGCTAAATAGACACTGCCATTAACTCCCCATTCCAGGGAAGAAACAGAGGCACAGAGAGGTTAGGTAACCTGCCCGAGGTTAACCAGCAGGAGGAGAGGATAAATCAACCTTTGAACCCAGGAGGTTTAGATCTTACACTTGAACCCTCAGCGCTACATCATCTCAGTTCTCGGTGCACAGACAGTGTTCAGCACAGACCCTGGAAACCAGTAAGCACTTAGTGTGTGCCGGTTGTTATTATTAATATTGTAATTCTGTAGGAGAGAACAGAGGTGCTGTGACTTGCCTTAGGCGACCCCGTTGTCAGGAGCACAACCAGGAGCTGACTCCAGTTTGATTTCAAAGTCTGTGTTGTTTCTGTTTCCCCCACCCCAGATTACAGAGGGTGTTGGGCTGGGCATGAAGAAGGACACAGGAGATTTAGTCAGCATTTTTGGAAGTGACCACAGGGCTCCCACTCCCCACCTCCTCCAGCAGAAGATGCAATCTCTGCAGGTTATGGAGAGTCAGTTCTGGGTCAAACTGTGCTCATACTCAGCCTCACGTCTGTAGGAGTATTAAACTCTTTTTCATAGATGAAGAAACGGAAGCTCAGAGAGGTTAAAGGACTTGTCCCATGTCACACAGCTGCCAACTGGCAGAGCAGACTCCAACCCGACTCTTGTTTACACCCAAAGCTCTTCTTCTTTTTTTTAAAAAAGTAATTTTGTTTATTTGGTTTTGGTTGTGCTGGGTCTTTGTTGCTGCATGGGTTTTTCTCCAGTTGCAGCTAGCGGGAGTGACTCTCTAGTAAGGGCGCATGGGCTTCTCATTGCAGTGGCTTCTCGTTGCAGAGCACAGGCTCGAGGACAAGCAGGCTTCAACGGTGCGGGCTTTGTGGTGCGCAGACTAGCTGCTCTGAGGCATGTGGGGTCTTCCTGGAGCAGGGGTCAAACCATGATTCCTGCATCGGCAGGTGGATTCTTTACCACTGAGCCATGAGTTCACTTCAGTCGCTCAGTCGTGTTTGACCCTTTGCGACCCCATGCATTGCAGCACGCCAGGCCTCCCTGTCCATCACCAACTCCTGGAGTTTACTCAAACTCATGTCCATAGAATCGATGATGACATCCAACCATCTCATCCTCTGTCTTCCCCTTCTCCTCCTGCCTTCAATCTTTCCCACCATCAGGGTCTTTTCCAAAGAGTCAGCTCTTTGCATCAGATGGCCAAAGTATTGGAGTTT